TGTTCTAACTTATTTGTTATGTTTATCATTATCCTCTGTCTTCTCCTATAAGGATGCATGTTCTGGGAGGAAAAGTGTTATATATCCCTATCCCTAAAACCAGTGCAATGCCGGACACGTCATAACTATTCATGAAATATTTGTCAAATGAATGGAGAGGGTTAATATATTACTTGCTGTGTTGGTGTTTCTCAGCTTTGCTAAAATAGTGTTTTCAAAATGAAGAAATATCCCTCTTTAAAGACAAAAAACAAACACCTCTTTTGTGAACAGCCAGGGATGTATCCAGAGGCGTCAGCCCCGCAGCTCTTCCAACCCAGCTCACAAACAAAATAGAGCATGCTTCATTCATACAGGGTGGCCTCTGATGATTCCGAATATGCCTACAGGAATTATTTTCATTCATCAGCAAATGAAAGCAGAAAAAGGGGAAATCCTCAGAGCACTCTTGGACTCTAAATCCCGAACTTGGAAACCATGAATGCAGCGTTTCACATACGGCACCTCCATAGGAACATGATAGGGAAGGAAGAGGGAGGGATGTAGAGGGACAGCGTAGTTGAGGGGGTTATGGTTGCCCAGCCTGAGGGTGGTGACAGCACCTGGGTAAGAGAGACTCAAGGATCTTTTGGGTCAACTAAGGAAAGAGAGAAAGAAGTGGGAAACAACTCTGCCCAACTTACAGTTCTACCCACAGCTTGCTTGACACCCGCCCAAGAGACATGATGTCTGTATTCCTATATAGGTGTGTCTTGTTCATGCACCCAGATTATAAGCATACCCACTTTATTACAGTGCTTGAGAAGGGATATTCCACTTGTACAAAAAGGTTAAACTATGAGTGTCACTTTCTTTTTGTGTGTATATTTGCCTACCTGTGATTTAGTTCAAAGTTCTCTGAGTTTAATTTAAACAATAATGAAACCATTGAAAAGAGATCATAAATCCATTCTTACAGTGAATCTATTAGTTATATATGAAAAACAGATGGCATCATCAATCAATCTATGCATTTTATTCATATTTATATATTTTAGCAATACTGGATGTTATAATTAATATGCCTAATTTATTATATTTCCAATTCATATGATTTAATGAATTAAGTGATTAAAATATTCCAAAACATTAAAGGGAAAATGAATTCAAACTGAATGCAGCATGAATTCTTAATGCTAAAATGAAAACACAATGTTTTCAGTATGGCCCTAATTAATGCCATATGCCCAAATTTATAGTGACATTTTCAGTTCGATTTTAATCTATTTAGATAAACATAAATAAGTCAATTAACCTTTTTCTTTTGCTCTTATTTGGGGCTGTCTCTTATACACATCTAGATGTGTATAAGAGACAGCTGTCTTAAAGGGCTGCAGGAATGATGTACAAAATGTTAAAATTATGCTTAATAGGGATATGCTCTAAACATTTCAAAGGAACCAGAAGCAAAATGAGAGACTGGAAGAACTGACACGAGGCATTTTATCTCAGATGAGCCGCGGAAATAAGAACGTTTCTTACATGAGAGACAGAACATGTGAGGCCAAGGGACGTTATGCTTAATTTAGGTATTTGATTCAACGACAACAAAACCACTGTACATTTTACTCTTCTTTTTATGAAAAGAAAATTTTAATCTTTTATAAGTAAATGCAAAATATTTTTGCTGTGTATTTCGAGATGCATGTTCTCCTGGTTGCCCTTTGATTTGGGGAACAATTTCACATTTAAATTAGAAACGAAATAAAGTGGCTACTTAACACACAGGCTATTTCACGGGGTTTTCATTAGCAGAGCTGCATCTGAAAACTTTTGCATGTATATGGAAAAAGAGCATGATTCATTCAGGAATACTCTTCTCCTATACTGTATGCTTCAGCGTTCTTCAGGGATTGAAAGATTGGCATCTTCTCTACTTAATTTTTTGATTACAGAAAAACTCATTCATGTCACAGATGTGCCGGGACACCTGGCTACATCCCTGGCCTCTTTCTTTTTCCTCTCTTTCTTTTTTTTTTTTTTTGTTGAGACAGGTTGGAGTGCAGCGGCACGATCTCGGCTCTCTGCAAGCTCCGCCTCCCGGGTTCACACCATTCTCCTGCCTCAGCCTCCCGAGTAGCTGGGACTATGGGTGCCCGCCACCACGCCTGGC